GGGACTGATTACCTCAGTACGTTATGTTATACATGCCATGTAATTTTTTCTAATTTTGCTATTACAATGACCTGTCCTTTCTGGAGTTTATCTGGAGGCCTGTGACCAGGCCTCCTTAGGTCAGTGTCCCAGGATGCGACCCACACCAGTCGACTAACACCCAGGTACCCATTTTACTGATGGGGAACATAGACAACAGGTGGAAAGAAACACGTCCAATGTTTCTACTCTGGCTGGGAATCGAACCCAGGCCCTCACCGTGTGAAGCGAGAGCGTTAACCACCAGGCCACCAGAGTCCTTTAGTGGTAATATTTGGATCAATTTCCAGGCTGGGGAGATGATAACAATAAGTACATTTCCTAAGAAGAAGATACATTAGAGGAGTTACAATAGTAGGTTCCCAGCAACGGTGGGCACAGTTCCACTAATCTGCTAATCGCTAATTAGCAGAACTAACTTTCTGTTCAGTGGATTAGCATGTCCGCTAACTTCGGAAATCGTTAGTGGACCAATTAGCTTCCGCTAAATAAAGTTCCGCTAACTCTGAGTCTGCTAAAAAAAATTCATACGTTGTGGGTAGTCGGAAAGCAGCGGGGAGAACAGCAGCACCATTATTGAGGACGAGGAAGATGACTTCTTCAGCAGCATCATTCAGTTCCAGGACAGCAGAAGCCACAGGTCACTGAAGTTGAAGGCACAGAGCATGGTGAAGACCTGGCTGGAGACCAACTTGAAGGAGGTAGCGAGTGAAGTCGCCTTCTTGGGTGAGCAGGTCTTGATTGATCCATTCATTAAGTACAACATCGCCATCCCATCCAGTGCTGCAGTTAAGCGCCTATTTTTTATAGGCAAAGATATCTTGAGGGCCAAGAGAGCCACCCTGTCAGATGGAAACTTTGAGAGGCTGATGCTCATGTAGGGCAACCAGCACCACATCAAAGCAATGGAGGAGGCCCAACCAGGGTAGTAATCAGCCCAGCCATAATCTGATCTTGGCATGATACCCATGCTATGCATTTTGTACAGTAAATAAAGTGTATGTTGGATTTAAGCTGATGTTTGATTTCATTTGTTCATTTAACTATTTGTGTGCACCTGTATGTCTGTATCGCTGGTGCAGCGATAAGTTGACCTCAAGGTTTCAACTTTAAGCACTATTTTCAACTACTTGTTCATAGTTTTTTGGGTTCAAAATCTAAATTAAGTTAAATGCAAACATGAACAGAAGCAGAATAAAATGAATGAATACAATGAGTAAGTGGAACTAATGAAGAAAACAGCAAAATAAGTTAACTCGATCTGTTTGGGTGCTATGGGGCTTCAGTACAGCGACAAGTGTCCTTGTTGGTCACTTGCGTTACATCACAAAATTAAACAATCGCTATTTTTGCACTAGTGGCACTTGATCATCATATGACCTTGGCATTCTATATCTTATTAGGAAGCTCTCCAGGTCTGTTCTAAAAGTCTTAATTAAAAGTACAGTGGTACTCCGAGTTTCGTACAGCTCCCAACTCGAACAATTATTTAAGTGTATTATTGTAAGTGCTTTTGTAAGTGTATTTTTGGGGTCTGAAATGGACTAATCTAATTTAATTATTCCTTATGCGAACAAATTCATTCAGAAACGGCACTCGAACAGCCTTCTGGAATGAATTATGGCCGAAACTCGGGGTACCACTGCAAAAGTAAAAGACCAAAAAAACTAAACCAAATCTGAATTCATGTGAAAAAGTTAGTGGTAAGCATTTAGCGTTAGCTTCTGCTAATTTTTTCAGCGGTTTAGCGTTAGCAGAGCAAATTTTTTAGTTAGCCGATTAGTGGTTAGTGAAGCTAACTTTTCAGTTAGCTGAGCCCACCACTGGTTACCAGTAGTATATATTTATTACAAGGAAAATCCCATACACCTACTGGTCATGTTCAGTGACCAGTCAATAGGTACCTAGGAGACTGTTGTAGGTCACAGCCTAGGGAAGGACTACTATGGAAATAAGCCATTATCTGGCTTTGTATATAAATATTAGCATCTGCAAAAAGGCAAAGTAGCAGGTGTTCCTTTTTATTTATTCTTTATCACTGAATAAAACAATTGCCTTTCTTATATAAAAAAAAACAGCTGAAACATTAGAAAGCTAGAGGATTATAATTTTTTTTTCCATTAAAGTCAAAAATGGTGTTTTGCAAGTATAGTGGACCCCCGGTTTACGATATTATTTCATTCCAGAAGTATGTTCAGGTGCCATTACTGAACGAATTTGTTCCCATAAGGAATATTGTGAATCAGATTAGTCCATTTCAGACCCCCAAACATACACGTACAAACGCACTTACATAAATACACTTACATAATTGGTCGCATTGGGAGCTGATTGTAAAGCGGGGGTCCACTGTATATGAATAACTGCCAAAAGCTGCTGGTAGAGGTTCAGGGAACAAGTATATACTCTACATGACTATACCTATACAGACTTTGTTAGAGTCATAGTGACACTGGTAGAAGAGTGATGTAAGTCCATGAACAATGAGTAAGATGATGTGTTGAAATTTGTTCTCATAGTGATACAATGCTTCTCAGTAGAGAGTAAGTCTTAGGGCCTATAAGAAAAACTTGATAACCATGCAAACTATTTTTATATGCAAATTCTCATATCAGGTACTAAATGGGAAATGAAGGACTTAAGGAGCAAAATGTCCTGGAACTAACCCATTATTTTATCAAAACAAAGGTAACAATCCAATCTGAACTGTACTGTGTCTATTCCTGATTTATTCAATAAGTCGTATAAGAAAATTTTTTGTTAGCCAAGAGAATGGAGTTTACCCTGTCATGTATCCTGGAAGTAGAGACATCAGGCATTGTGCTGACCATGTAATTAGTCTGGAGATGGACCCATTATGTCTACCAGGATTGTAACTCAATATCAACAATATAGTACGTATAAGGTAAGAGTATACCCTGCCTCAGTCTATTAGTGTTGTTCGTGGTAGGGTGTAACGAATCTCTCCCACTTGGAATCATAATTCCTACCAGAAAAAGCTTATACGCAATCCCATTAACCCTTTGAGGGTTTCGGCAGTACTAGTATGGCTTACGACCCAGGGTTTTTGACGTACTAGTATGCCTAAATTCTAGCGCCCTCAAATCTAGTGGGAGAAAGCTGGTAGGCATACATATGAAAGAATGGGTCTATGTGGTCAGTGTGCGCAGTATAAAAAAAAATCCTGCAGCACACAGTGCATAATGAGAAAAAAACTTTGACCGTGTTTTTGGAATAAAACAGCGACTTTGCACTGTATTTTCGTATGGTATTTATTGTTGTATTCTAGTTTTCTTGGTCTCATTTTATAGAATGGAAGACATATTACAGAAATTGAGATGATTTTGACTGGTTTTACAATGAAAAGTACCTTGAAATTGAGCTCCAAGTAGTAGAAATGTTCGATTTTTACCAAAGTTCAAAAGTAAACAAATCATGCCAAGTGTCCGATACACGTCAACTGGTGAGTCTAATATTCTTTCACAAGTGTGCTGATATTGTTTATACCATTTCTACACTAATGCAGCAGTCTGTATAGCAGTAAATCTTCTATTTTTTGTAAGAATAAAAATTGAAAGTGGAAAGCCAAAGAAATATAAGAGGGGCCTGGGGATGTGACTAATGAACAGAGGAAATGTTATTTTAGTGCCAGGAATGTCTTTCTTGTTTATTCTGGACCCTATTTGGAAATTGGCATCTTTTGAAATTTGTGTGAAATTGGCAAAATTGCTAAATTCTGACCACTGTATTGGATAGTTGAAATCAGTAAATGGGTGGTTTCTTGTACTCATTCAATAGAAAAAATGCAGTTCTAGAGAAATAGTTATGATTTTTGTCGACTAGTATACTGGAATCGGCCGAAAATAGGGCTTAAAGTGGGCAAAATCACCGATGCGTAAACACCGTCGAGACCACTAACTTCGCGAGAGCATAATTCCCTAAGTTTTCCATCAAATTTCATACTTTTGGTGTCATTATGATTGGGAAAAGATTCTCTATCTTTTCATAAGAAATAATAATTTTTTTTAAAAATTTGGCCGACCCTGAGAACAAGTCTCGGAGAGGGCCTGTCGACCCTCAAAGGGTTAATCACTGGCCCAATGTAGTTTTAAGATGTAATCACATGACCCTAACCCCTTGCATATAAATTTTTTTACCCTTCCCCCAATTAAAAGCAGAGTGGCTGTGTTCTGTTTTCAGTCTTGTGACTCAATCCTTGAGTGTGCACATGTCTACCCTGTGCTTTCACTTTCTTCCATCATTTGCCAAAAAAGAATTAATTGAAGAGGTAGTGTGGAAAGCAAGAAAGTAAATCATGAAGTGTGCCTCATAACATATAATAAATACACTGCTAATTGGTAGAGTACATAGAGAAAAATTAATATTTTAGATGTTTAATTACCATAGGTAAATCTTAAATAACTAAGTGTATACAAAATTTCAAGAGGAACTAGTGCCAGTTTTTTTTTTTTAACAAGTTGGCTGTCTCCCACCAAGGCAGGGTGACCCAAAAAGAAAGAAAATCCCCCCCAAAAAAAGAAAATCCCTAAAAAGAAAGAAAATCCCCAAAAAGAAAGAAAATCCCCAAAAAGAAAATACTTTCATCATCATTCAACACTTTCACCAGTTATATGTTCAGTTAAATAGAACAAAACAAGATGCTATTATTAAAACTTTTCATTGAATCCTTCTATGATGCATCTTGAATAATTTCATATTAGTCAAACATATGGTTGCTGATTCATAGCTAACCCACCTTGTGAGTGGAACTTTTAGATGACATTGTGATCTGTCCTAGACAACAATAGTTAAAACTGTAACTTATTTTTCTTCTTCTTCATGATGGCTGAGAAGTTGAAAGTTGATAGCTCCATCAGCTGAGTTACTGGTATAGGTACTATCACATTATAAAAAATAAAAAGGAGGTTAAAATTAAATACAGTGTAATAGGGGTTACTTACCAGTGGCCCCGAGAGGATGACCCTTTGAGATGAGTCCACCAGAGGGGTTAATAACATACTTTCCACCGTACGTATTATCACCCATGTCTATGAACTTCCCAGCTTCTCCCTCTCCACACAGGCCTACAGAATACAAAGATTCCTTAGAAAACATGTGTCCTGAAGAATTATTTATTAGTTTCCAATAAAACAAGAGCCATTAAAGAATTTAAATAAAGGGTTTCAACAATCTGCAACAATTGGACTTACCAAGAGCCTCATAAGTAATGAGTTCATTTGCCGAGAAGCAATCATGGAGTTCAATCACATCAACATCTGAGGGAGAATAGCCAGCCTGGCTGAAAACCTTCTTAGCTGCATTTTTTGTCATGTCATAACCAACCTAGAAAAAAAAAAAGGAAAAGATGAAATGATGAGTCTCTTAATATATAAGGTTACCTTTCAAATAAAGTCCTCCAGGCCAGCTTGTCAAGCGATATGTATTGTACCTGCTATGTAAGTTTAATTATTATGTAGTATCTGGTATACAACAGGAATGCACCAAGAAGTGGCAAAGATGAAAGGAAGGGCAAGCCAATATAAATCTTAAACAGTTTTGAAGCATATCTCAAATTTACACAACATAATTTATAATATTACACGTGGGATAACAAGTATACATGTATCTTGCTACTTCTACTTACACTTTGGTCACACTACACATGCATGTTCACTCATATATATTTACACACCTATCTGGGTTTTCTGATCTATTCTTAACAGTTCTTGTTCTTTATTTCCTCCTGTCTCCAATGGTGAAGTGGAAAAGAATCCTTCCTCTGTAAGCCATGCATGTCATAAGAGGTGACTAAAATGCTGGGAGAAAGGGGCTAGTAACTCCTTCTGTATAAATTACTAAATTTAAAATGAAATTAATGTTTCAACTCCTTATGATGTTCTACATTTACAGAAATTAAGATACTGTAATGACAGTAACATTATTCTATGAGTTTTCTAAAAGAAAATGCATAAATAAAAGACACTTATACTCACAAGCTTAATTGGGCTTTCATCCTCAAAAGTTGAAGGCAGGTCCGTCATCATTTCCATCGCAAGTATTTCAACTGCTTGGTCTTGCAAGTTATGAGAAATTACGAAATCTTCTGAGGCCAATATTGCTGCTCCAGAACCATCAGATGTAGGACAACACTGGAGTTTGGTCAGTGGTCCTGTGACTTTGGGAGACTCCAGTATCTGCTGCAGGGTGTACTCATCTTGGAACTGGGAGTACCTAATGAAGCACTTAACATGATTAGCACACAAGAGATGCTCCTCGCTTTATGATGGTTCGACTTACAATATTTCAATTTTATGATGGCACTATCGTAAAGTCAAAATATCGCCATCTTGCAGTACTGTATATTTATTGATAGGATAACATGTATTCATTTATTTACTTTTCAATACTGGTATTTAGTTACAGTAATTATTTGTTTATTTACTTAATCAGTGACAACAGTTATTTATTTACTTATTTATTTACCACATATTCGTATTCAACTTACGATGGGTTCGTCGGAATGTAACCCCAACATAAGTCGAGAAGCACTTGTTCTGAATGTAGGGACATGGTTGATGCTGGCTGTATTTATTTATTTATTTTTTTTCAACAAGTCGGCCGTCTCCCACCGAGGCAGGGTGACCCAAAAAAGAAAGAAAATCCCCAAAAAGAAAATACTTTCATCATCATTCAACACTTTCACCACATTCACACATTATCACTGTTTTTGCAGAGGTGCTCAGAATACAACAGTTTAGAAGCATATACGTATAAAGATACACAACATAGCTGTATTTATAGCAACAACAAAACTTGCACTGTACAGTACATGGTTTATTTTATGAATAAAGTTATTACTGAATTAGTACTTACTGCTACTGATTTATTAATTATTAACAAACTATTATTATTATCCTTGACACCAGCCATCTCTCACCAAGGCAGGGTGACCCCCCTCCCTGAAAAAAACACATTTACCATCATTCACCCAGCATGTGTCCTGCCAGAAGTGTAAAGACATGACAATTCAAATGAACCTATAAATTGCAACGTCCTCACTTCTCTTTCAGAGTGGTGGCATTATATTTCTTGCCTCCAGGTCTCATATCTGGCTAACTGGTTTCCCTGAATCCCTTCATACATGTTACCTTGCTCACCCTCCAATAGCATGTCAAATCACAAAAACCACTTGTCTCCACTCACTCTGATCTAACATGCTCACACATCTGCTGGATGCTCAAGCCCCTAGTGATCAAAACCTCCTTTACGCCCTTCCTCAAGTCCTTCCTAGAATGACTCCTACCCTTCCTTCAATATATCCCAGCTTAATATACCCTCTTGGTCATCCTATTCGGCTCCATTCACTCTAAATGCCCCCCTCCCCCCCAGTCAGCCAGCAGAATTATATCTTTGGCAACCCCACACAATGTTATTTCTACACTCCAAATTCCCTGCATAATAGTCACACCATGCATTGTTCTCAAATATGATATCTTCACTGCCTCCAGCCTCATCCTTGCTGCAACACTGAAAACCCATGCCATATCAGTACCAATCAAATTATGAAATGTAAACATACGTACATTGTAATCTTAGCAAAGAAATAAAATTTTTTTTTTGATTCTGATTTGATTTTGATACCACTATACTGTGGTACATTTCCCTCTTTGCCTCCCTGGATAAATTTCTTTGTTTCATAGAAGTCTCAACATATGACCTACCTTTCTCCCCCTTGTCTGTTATTTTTTTTTATTATCACACCGGCCGATTCCCACCAAGGCAGGGTGGCCCGAAAAAGAAAAACTTTCACCATCATTCACTCCATCACTGTCTTGCCAGAAGGGTGCTTTACACTACAGTTTTTAAACTGCAACATTAACACCCCTCCTTCAGAGTGCAGGCACTGTACTTCCCATCTCCAGGACTCAAGTCCGGCCTGCCGGTTTCCCTGAATCCCTTCATAAATGTTACTTTGCTCACACTCCAACAGCACGTCAAGTATTAAAAACCATTTGTCTCCATTCACTCCTATCAAACACGCTCACGCATGCCTGCTGGAAGTCCAAGCCCCTCGCACACAAAACCTCCTTTTACCCCCTCCCTCCAACCCTTCCTAGGCCGACCCCTACCCCGCCTTCCTTCCACTACAGACTGATACACTCTTGAAGTCATTCTGTTTCGCTCCATTCTCTCTACATGTCCGAACCACCTCAACAACCCTTCCTCAGCCCTCTGGACAACAGTTTTGGTATCCCGCACCTCCTCCTAACTTCCAAACTACGAATTCTCTGCATTATATTCACACCACACATTGCCCTCAGACATGACATCTCCACTGCCTCCAGCCTTCTCCTCGCTGCAACATTCATCACCCACGCTTCACACCCATATAAGAGCGTTGGTAAAACTATACTCTCATACATTCCCTCTTTGCCTCCAAGGACAAAGTTTCTTGTCTCCACAGACTCCTAAGTGCACCACTCACTCTTTTTCCCTCATCAATTCTATGATTCACCTCATCTTTCATAGACCCATCCGCTGACACGTCCACTCCCAAATATCTGAATACGTTCACCTCCTCCATACTCTCTCCCTCCAATCTGATATTCAATCTTTCATCACCTAATCTTTTTGTTATCCTCATAACCTTACTCTTTCCTGTATTCACCTTTAATTTTCTTCTTTTGCACACCCTACCAAATTCATCCACCAATCTCTGCAACTTCTCTTCAGAATCTCCCAAGAGCACAGTGTCATCGGCAAAGAGCAGCTGTGACAACTCCCACTTTGTGTGTGATTCTTTATCTTTTAACTCCACGCCTCTTGCCAAGACCCTCGCATTTACTTCTCTTACAACCCCATCTATAAATAATTAAACAACCACGGTGACATCACACATCCTTGTCTAAGGCCTACTTTTACTGGGAAAAAATTTCCCTCTTTCCTACATACTCTAACTTGAGCCTCACTATCCTCGTAAAAACTCTTCACTGCTTTCAGTAACCTACCTCCTACACCATACACTTGCAACATCTGCCACATTGCCCCCCTATCCACCCTGTCATACGCCTTTTCCAAATCCATAAATGCCACAAAGACCTCTTTAGCCTTATCTAAATACTGTTCACTTATATGTTTCACTGTAAACACCTGGTCCACACACCCCCTACCTTTCCTAAAGCCTCCTTGTTCATCTGCTATCCTATTCTCCGTCTTACTCTTAATTCTTTCAATTATAACTCTACCATACACTTTACCAGGTACACTCAACAGACTTATCCCCCTATAATTTTTGCACTCTCTTTTATCCCCTTTGCCTTTATACAAAGGAACTATGCATGCTCTCTGCCAATCCCTAGGTACCTTACCCTCTTCCATACATTTATTAAATAATTGCACCAACCACTCCAAAACTATATCCCCACCTGCTTTTAACATTTCTATCTTTATCCCATCAATCCCGGCTGCCTTACCCCCTTTCATTTTACCTACTGCCTCACGAACTCCCCCACACTCACAACTGGCTCTTCCTCACTCCTACAAGATGTTATTCCTCCTTGCCCTATACACGAAATCACAGCTTCCCTATCTTCATCAACATTTAACAATTCCTCAAAATATTCCTTCCATCTTCCCAATACCTCTACCTCTCCATTTAATAACTCTCCTCTCCTATTTTTAACTGACAAATCCATTTGTTCTCTAGGCTTTCTTAACTTGTTAATCTCACTCCAAAACTTTTTCTTATTTTCAACAAAATTTGTTGATAACATCTCACCCACTCTCTCATTTGCTCTCTTTTTACATTGCTTCACCACTCTCTTAACTTCTCTCTTTTTCTCCATATACTCTTCCCTCCTTGCATCACTTCTACTTTGTAAAAACTTCTCATATGCTAACTTTTTCTCCCTTACTACTCTCTTTACATCATCATTCCACCAATCGCTCCTCTTCCCTCCTGCACCCACTTTCCTGTAACCACAAACTTCTGCTGAACACTCTAACACTACATTTTTAAACCTACCCCATACCTCTTCGACCCCATTGCCTATGCTCTCATTAGCCCATCTATCCTCCAATAGCTGTTTATATCTTACCCTAACTGCCTCCTCTTTTAGTTTATAAACCTTCACCTCTCTCTTCCCTGATGCTTCTATTCTCCTTGTATCCCATCTACCTTTTACTCTCAGTGTAGCTACAACTAGAAAGTGATCTGATATATCTGTGGCCCCTCTATAAACATGTACATCCTGAAGTCTACTCAACATCTTTTATCTACCAATACATAATCCAACAAACTACTGTCATTTCGCCCTACATCATATCGTGTATACTTATTTATCCTCTTTTTCTTAAAATATGTATTACCTATAACTAAACCCCTTTCTATACAAAGTTCAATCAAAGGGCTCCCATTATCATTTACACCTGGCACCCCAAACTTACCTACCACACCCTCTCTAAAAGTTTCTCCTACTTTAGCATTCAAGTCCCCTACCACAATTACTCTCTCACTTGGTTCAAAGCTCCTATACATTCACTTAACATCTCCCAAAATCTCTCTCTCTCCTCTGCATTCCTCTCTTCTCCAGGTGCATACACGCTTATTATGACCCACTTCTCGCATCCAACCTTTACTTTAATCCACATAATTCTTGAATTTACACATTCATATTCTCTTTTCTCCTTCCATAACTGATCATTTAACATTACTGCTACCCCTTCCTTTGCTCTAACTCTCTCAGATACTCCAGATTTAATCCCATTTATTTCCCCCCACTGAAACTCTCCTACCCCCTTCAGCTTTGTTTCGCTTAGGGCCAGGACATCCAACTTCTTTTCATTCATAACATCAGCAATCATCTGTTTCTTGTCATCCGCACTACATCCACGCACATTTAAGCAACCCAGTTTTATAAAGTTTTTCTTCTTCTCTTTTTTAGTAATTGTATACAGGAGAAGGGGTCACTAGCCCATTGCTCCCGGCACCTTAGTCGCCTCATACGACACGCATGGCTTACGGAGGAAAGATTCTTTTCCACTTCCCCATGGACAATAGAAGAAATAAAAAAGAACAAGAGCTATTTAGAAAAAGGAGAAAAACCTAGATGTATGTATATATATATATGCATGTGCGTGTCTGTGAAGTGTGACCAAAGTGTAAGTAGGAGTAGCAAGATATCCCTGTTATCTTAGCGTGTTTATGAGACAGAAAAAGAAACCAGCAATCCTACCATCATGCAAAACAGTTACAGGTTTTTGTTTCACAGTCATCTGGCAGGACGGTAGTACTTCCCTGGGTGGTTGCTGTCTACCAACCTACTACCTACTGGTAGTATGTTATATGGTTCAATTTGTTTTCCATAGACCCATGTGCTGCCATGGTTATCCCCTGGATACAACAGACCTCGATATAAAGGGTAAAATCCACTGGTTAAATTGTGCCTTTAACTCCTTTATTTTCAATGTTTATTGCTAGTAACTCCTTCTCCTGTATACATTACTAAAATTAAAAAGAGAAACTTTTGTTTTTCTTTTTGGGCCACCCTGGTTTGGTGGGATATGGCCAGTTTGTTGAAAGAAGAAGATCTATAAATTGTTTGTACAGTTCTATATTAGGTATAGAGCAGAACCTTTTGGTGCTTTTATTTGGTATTTTTAAACATTATCCTGATTTCATGGACATTTTGACAATCATTCCTTATTAGTCTGTTACACTGAGGGTTTACTGTACATTCACTCCCCGTAAATTCTCCGCATCATTCAGTCTGATAAGTAATCTTTCATTATCTAGATATTTTGCTACTCTCATCACCTTGCTCTTTTGTGTATGTACTTTTACCTTTCCTCCTTTTACATTATTTTTTTTTATTAACACATCGGCCGTTTCCTACCAAGGCAGGGTGGCCTGAAAAAGAAAAACTTTCATCATCATTCAATCCATCACTGTCTTGCCAGAAGCATGCCTACACTAGTTTATAAAACTGCAACATTAGCACCTTCATCCAGTACCATAACATTCATATCTTGTACAACCCCATCTATGAATATATTAAACAACTATGTTGACATCATACATCTCTGTCTGAGCCCTACTTCTGTTGGAAAATAATCCCTCTCGCTTACACATCCTAACCTGAGTCTCACTATCTGTAACTTTTCCCATGCTGCTACCTTATTCATTTTATCATATGGTTTTTCTAGATTCATAAATATGATAGGAGCAAAAACAGTACAGGTCAGCCATCACTAATCTGGAAGTCAGTTGTCCGGTTCTATTAGCAATCCGGCACTAATTTCGGCTAGCATAATTTCAAATTTCATCATTATACTGACTCAGAAATTGTGCAGATGGTTGTAAATCCACAGCAGCAAGTCAGTGGAGGAGAAAGCAGTGATGAAAATGAGGAAGATGTAGCAGAAAGAGTCTCTATTGATAGGTTAATTAAGTGTATTCTAACCTAACCACTCTGTATTCTGGCAAACTCACTAATCCAGCACACTACAGGTCCCAGTGATGCCAGATTATTGATGGCCAACCTGTAGTAATAATAGTAGCAGTAGTAGAAGTAGTTGTAGTTTTTGTTGCAGTTGTAGTTGCTGTTGTCACACTGGCTATCTTCCAACAAGGCAAGGTGATCCAAAAACAGTACACACAGTCAAAATCACTCATCCAAATATCAATTTTGCCAGATCTTGTCAGATATCACAATTCAAATAACCTTCCAAACTGCAACCTACCCACTCAGACTTTAGAATGCAAGCACTGTACTTCCCACTTCTAGGGCTCAAGTCCGGCTAACCAGTTTTCCTGAATTCCTTTGTAAAAGTTACCTTGCTCACATTCTAACAGCAAATCAAGGTATAAAAGGCACTTGTCTCCATTCACTCCAGTCTAACATGTCCACACAAGCTTGCTGGATGCTCAAGCCCCTAGGACTCACAACTACCTATACCTTTTCCTCCCTTTACCCCTCCAACCCAGTGGGAAAACAACAGCACCCTTGAGTGAATCATCTATAATTATGAATTACATCAGGTGAATTTCCCCAATGAATATATTAATGTAAAAGAAACAGTTAGCCAGATTTGAGTCCTGGAGGTGGGAAGTGCACTTCCTGCATTCTGAAGGAGGAGTGGGAATATTTGTAGTTTTGAACAGTAGTATCAGTGCCCCTCTAGCAAGACTGTAATGGAGTGAGTAATGATGAAAGTGTTTCTTCTTTTTTGGGTCACCCCTGACTCAGTAGAAGATGGCCAGTTAGTTAAACAAAAAATTAAAAAATAATCTGGTTATCACTGTTGTCAACATGAACCCCCCCCCTAGAAAAAGTGTGGGCCCCCTTGTAGTGTGGTGGGAAGTAAGATTCAATTTTACACTGTATCATGATGGCAGAGAAAGATATAAAAACTGACCATATCACACTGAAACAGGGCTGCCTGAGTATTTCCTCTTGCAGCTGTTACCCTTTGGAGAGAAGCTGAAGGGGTAAATGAGGTATTAAAACAGATATAGAGATATACTTACGGATTGTTGGTAGAATGCTTGTGGTTCTTGTAAGCTATCTTGGCCAAATGAACTGGTGTCGTTCCATATTTTTTCATGTGTTCAATACCAGCATTTCCAAAGAGCTGTGCAGTCATAGGAGCTCTCTCTATTTCAGCCATGTTTGCTAAGCACAATACATGCTTCTCCATTGGATTTTCACGATCATTAAACTGTGGAAACAAATTCTCGTATCTACTTCAAAAACTGGTTAATGGGTTTATAAAGACAGATAGCTATGTCTATGAGAATTATATAAATAAAAAAAAAAGAAGGGCTAAACAAATATTAAGAGAATGTACATTATGGCAAATGAGCATAGAGTACAGTTGTCTCAACAGATTCACATGGGGTTATGTTGCTAAAGATCCTACAAAACTAAAAATTACTACTCATACTGTACTATTTTGTACTTGTCATACAGTGAATAATTTATGCACTGCTACTGACTGTACTGCCAAATTAGTTTATTACAAAGTCTAAGTATAGCACTGAAAAGTTTCCATACTACGATATACTGAAACACTGGAAATTCTCAAGTAACGAGTGTTCCATAGATATAGCACCTTCGGTAGAACCTTCAATCAAATTCACAACTGAAGAGGTAAAAGATAGACAGATGCCATTTCTGGGCATATGATCTTCAAGAATGAAAACATGATTTTAGGGTAAAAATCAAACCCACTAACAAAAATGATTTTCACGACCAATATACTGTGGAAACAAATTCTTGTATGTACTGGTTAATGGGTTTGTAAGGATAGATATCTATGTTTCTTCCTAAGGGTTTGTAGGATTTGTTTATCACTCACCTTCCTCAAAGAAGAAAGTGACTACATTGATGAAAATCCTCCTGGAACTTTGCTATAAAAAAAACATTTCATCACTGGCTGCTGGAAAAAAGAGCAGAGAAGATACTACACACAGTGCCAGACAAGATTCCTTCCCCAGCAGATACATGCTTCTACCTGTCAACAAGACAAGCAATAACCTCTCAAAATCCTTAACCAAAGCCAACATCTTGGTTGTCACCATACCCTCCAACACCATAAAGGACTTAGTAAGAAAAAATTATGACAAAAACACTACTGCCAGCATCTACATGATACCTGTGGAGGTTGCAATAGTTTATATGTGGGTGAAACTTTTAGATACCTAAAAATGAGGATTAATGAACACAGAGGTGCCTGCTAGAGGTGAAGCAAACAATGCCTGCATTATTCACCACAGCAAGGAAATCCAACTGTTGAACTTTCCTGGCATCAAATTAGCTATCAAGAGAGCAGACAGACCCAACTGGACTGGAATCTGCTCAGGCTGCCACAGCTAACACCATTGCACAGATATCAAGTTCATTCGTAATTTCAGAAACACTGCCAAACTTATTCTCATCTGGCATTACACTGCTGTTACATAAAACTACATGGAAGAGCACTGCAGTCAGTCTAATGGCACTTCCTAATTTTGAAGCACTTCATGATTCCACTTGGCTGAGCCACATTATAACATGTGAAGTCACCTGCTTAGCTCTATATCTCATATCACACTTTCTCCCCTATATATGTGATCCGTTTGCTTATCTTGTGAGAAGTGATAAAGTCCCTGGTGGACAAAACATTTTCTCAATATGTCAAAAACAGCATACAGTGTCTTTTTAACAGAGGAAAACCTTCGCAATACAAAGGTCTCCTTCCTTCAAAAGGAATACTAGATATGAAGAGTGTTACTTCAAAATGAAATGACCACTGGGGGGACTCCTGACTAGAAAGCAGATCCTTCATGATGCCTCCTGTCAAATATAGTGGTCAATAATATGTATATTCATTTACTATAAATAAAGTACCTCATTACTAACCTTATTAGTGAGAGAGCCACGCTCCATTTTCTCAAAACCAAGAGCAAGAACACAATCAGCCTGTCCTCCCAAGATAAGATTGCGAGCCATGTAAAGAGCAGTTGACCCTGTAGAGCAGTTATTGTTGACATTGTAGACAGGTATACCTGTCATGCCCACTTCATATAACGCGCGCTGGCCGCAAGTTGAATCTCCTGATAAACAAACAAATAATTAATACTAATAAATAAATGCAATAATAGTAAAACACTACTAATAGGTACAATACCATCTATATAACTTAAAATGCAGTCAAGAGAATACGTAAAGATATTCTACTATAGAAGAAGTCCTCAAGCCATTTTGAAACAAAGATATTGTAATTCTTGTTTTCCTTGACAGTTTTATTTATGATCTCTGGTTACTAAGTAACTTCTTATTCCCAGTATGTATTCTGAAACTGCATAACCATTTTTCAAATACTCTAAAGTTACTGGTGGAGTTCAAATTGTGTGATTCATGCTATATAGTAATGATCTGTGAGCTGATTAAATTCTGTATGGTATGGATCATTCACCTTATTTAGAAATTTATGATATATGCACTGCTAACATCTGCTTACCATTTACTATAATATCTCTAAATGTAATTAAGCCAAAACTATTTAGAAAGAGCCTTACCATAGACATATCCAACACAGGCATGTTCAACCTTGTCATAGGTGACTTTAGCATCATTAAGGGCCTTTTCAACAGCTTCTTTTGCCATGGCTGGATAGCCAAAGTCATCTCTCCGACCAGGCTTCTCGAACTGCAGTATAAAGGAAAATTACGAAGTTAAATTTAGGAGAAAATGTTATCTGCATACAAAAACAAACATTACATAAAAACAAAACCCTCCCTAAAAGGAGGCTTCTTGATGCCATTGAGGGGCTTTGGATCCAAGGAAGTGAACCTGTTGTCCAGTGCCTTGAATCAAATCTGATTACCTCCCTTTCCCCCAGGTGCTACATGGGGCCCCTATGGGTGCAGTATCTCACTCTAAATATAATAAACAAAAAATATATGATACACAATTCTTCAACAGAGGGTATATCATATACTGGTAAATCAATAAACAATTAATTAAAAAAAATTTTTTCAAGTAATTCATAGTTACCAAAAATCTTATGGAAGACACAGAAGGCAATTTAAAACTTTAATTTGGAGAAAATTTCTTATGCTGAATTGATAACATGGTGCATGGAGGTCAGTGATGGAAGAATAAGACAAAATACTGGATTTCAAAAACTAATTAGATTAAATTCAGAATTTAATTTATTAAAAAATTTAATTTCTTCTTAATTTCAAAGTTCAGAAGTTTATACTGTCAGGATTCACACAGATTTTTTGCTACCTGGCAGCATACACTTCTGAACTTTGAAATTAAGTAGATTAAAAATGTAGACAAATTATGGAATGAGGGCACTAGTAGCTCAACAATTTTTTTTTTTTTAAGAATGGGAAACATTAGCCAATAATTAGCATAGTAATATATTTAGCTAGGTTAGGTGATTAAAAACTTCTGTCTTACAGTTACATGCTTACCTATTAAACTTAAACTTTTATAATATAAAAATAGATTACAAGGGTTTGAATAGTAACATTCTCAAGTTAAAATGAGTACAAAATATTTACTGTTGTATAACAGATTATGTAAAACTACTACAACGATATCTACAATAAATAAAGCTTGAGATATATTATCATAACTTGACCAGTGTCTGACATAACTACAACAAATAATATACCATAATAGACATATACATTTTTCATGAAATAGAATTTCTTTTATACATAAAAAAGTAAAAATATAAAAGAAAACCAAGTTTTCTTTTTTTTTTTTTTTTTTTTAACAAGTCGGTCGTCTCCCACCGAGGCAGGGTGACCCAAAAAAAGAAAGAAAATCCCCAAAAAGAAAATACTTTCATCATCATTCAACACTTTCACCACACACACACATTATCACTGCTTTTGCAGAGGTGCTCAGAATACAACAGTTTAGAAGCATATACGTATAGAGATACACAACATATCCCTCCAAACTGCCAATATCCCAAACCCCTCCTTCAAAGTGCAGGCATTGTACTTCCCATTTCCAGGACTCAAGTCCGACTATATGAAAATAACCGGTTTCCCTGAATCCCTTCACTAAATATTACCCTGCTCACACTCCAACAGATCGTCAGGTCCCAAGTATCATTCGTCTCCATTCACTCCTATCTAACACGCTCATGCACGCTTGCTGGAAGTCCAAGCCCCTCACCCACAAAACCTCCTTTACCCCCTCTTTCCAACCCTTTCGAGGACGACCCCTACCCCTCTTTCCTTCCCCTATAGATTTATATGCTTTCCATGTCATTCTACTTTGATCCATTCTCTCTAAATGACCAAACCACCTCAACAACCCCTCTTCTGCCCTCTGACTAATGCTTTTATTAACTCCACACCTTCTCCTACTTTCCACACTCCGAATTTTCTGCATAATATTTACACCACACATTGCCCTTAGACAGGACATCTCCACTGCCTCCAACCGTCTCCTCGCTGCTGCATTTACCACCCAAGCTTCACATCCATATAAGAGTGTTGGTACTACTATACTTTCATACATTCCCTTCTTTGCCTCCATAGATCACGTTTTTTGACTCCACATATACCTCAACGCACCACTCACCTTTTTTCCCTCATCAATTCTATGATTAACCTCATCCTTCATAAATCCATCCGCCGACACGTCAACTCCCAAGTATCTGAAAACATTCACTTCTTCCATACTCCTCCTCCCCAATTTGATACCCAATTTTTCTTTATCTAAATCATTTGATACCCTCATCACCTTACTCTTTTCTATGTTCACTTTCAACTTTCTACCTTTACACACATTCTCAAACTCATCCACTAACCTTTGCAATTTTTCTTTAGAATCTCCCATAAGCACAGTATCATCAGCAAAAAGTAACTGTGTCAATTCCCATTTTGAATTTGATTCCCCATAATTTAATCCCACCCCTCTCCCGAACACCCTAGCATTTACTTCTTTTACAACCCCATCTATAAATATATTAAACAACCATGGTGACATTACACATCCCTGTCTAAGACCTACTTTTACCGGGAAGTATTCTCCCTCTCTTCTACACACCCTAACCTGAGCCTCACTATCCTCATAAAAGCTCTTTACAGCATTTAGTAACTTACCACCTATTCCATATACTTGCAACATCTGCCACATTGCTCCAAGTACATACAATAAAACATACAACCTATTTATCAATCTATAATATTTAAAGAATATCTTAGTAATGCTTCTTCTATTTGTATAACATTATATAACACACACTGGCACCTTATGTAAATAATGCATATTGAAAAGTTAATTTTTTTAATAGGTGATTATAACTACATTCTGCTCTATTCGATATACGTGTAAATGGTAAATACTTTGATAATTATTATTACTATCATGGAGAGCGCCTATGGGGGGGGGGGGGATGGAAGGCATTCAGGCTTAATTAAGGGAAGTGGAATATAGATCCAATTCCCTTGATCAAGAGCCCTTCACCAGTACCTAGGGACCTCCCTCGAGTGGGTATATACCTAGAAATAAAACTATATATTATCCCGATGCACGTAACCATGACTGCGAAGATATGCGAGACCCACGGGCAGTATCACCATGACTTGCTTTATATCCAAACACTGAACAGTACAAACTTCTCGACCAGTCACATACCTTTGTCATGCCCACACCGACCACAAAAACACGCCTGGGTGCCATTCTGAAGACGTTGAGCATAAAGTATGACAGAGTGTTGCAACAGCAAATTACTTAGCCTTCCTCCCGTGGCCTCGACCAGCTGACTGACTGTTATTGTTATTGTTTATCAGCTGATGAGAGCCGACACCCCCGCCCCTCCCCCACAAAAATCAGCCCCAACACAACACTTGCCAACAATCTCACGAATAACAACTAAACTTTCTTTTTCTAAACTGTTTTAGCATTAAATCAGTTTAGAAAGAGACAAAAAGTACTTAGAGAATATAGTTACAGGCAAGGAATAAATGTGATTTATTTTGCATAATTAACTCCCATTAAAGCCTTAAATTCAACAAATTTTTCCTTTTTATTACTAATGTATTTCATATTTATGTGTTATTTGATTGACTCAAGTTTATTATATTTGTATTGTAATTCATTTTCATACATTTGATCTGCTCGTTTTTTTAATAAGGTTAATAATCATGACTAATTTTTATTTTAATAATAATAATAATAATAATAATAATAATAATAATAATAATAATAATAATAATAATAATAATAATAATAATAATAATAATAATAATATTTTTTATTCGCCGGTATTCTCCCGGCCCGGGTCTTTTCCAATAGTGGTGACCCGGCCTTGGCTCCCTATCTGGGGAGTGTCTCGAGACCTAAGTCTCCCATGGGAGGAGGTACAAGTACCTGGAGTTTACCTGGAGAGAGTTCCGGGGGTCAACGCCCCCGCGGCCCGGTCTGTGACCAGGCCTCCTGGTGGATCAGAGCCTGATCAACCAGGCTGTTACTGCTGGCTGCACGCAATCCAACGTACGAGCCACAGCCCGGCTGGTCAGGTACCGACTTTAGGTGCTTGTCCAGTGCCTGCTTGAAGACAGCCAGGGGTCTATTGGTAATCCCCTTTATGTATACTGGGAGGCAGTTGAACAAGTCTTGGGCCCCTGACACTTACTGTATTGTCTCAACGTACTAGTGACACCCCTGGTTTTCTTTGGGACCAAGTATCCCCAGGCCTAGCCACAGTCCCCACCCTCGCAGGGAGAAGCTAGGCCTCTGGTCTGCCATCTGCCCCAAAGGGACTCGTGGGGATGGCAGTCTTGCGAGTTGCAGGTGGTAGCAAGCTCAGGCCTTTAATAATAATAATAATAATAATAATAATAATAATAATAATAATAATAATAATATTTATTTTTACAAGTACATATACAAGGTATACAGACCATAGCTGACATCAATGACATACTACTATATAGAAAGCCGCTTGTTATACAGATCATTTCAGGCAAATTAGGTCACTTTTATCCCCCAGGATGTGACTCACACCGGTCGACTAACACTCAGGTACCTATTTACTGCTAGGTGAACAAGGACAGTAGGTGTCATAAGGAAATACGAAGATTTGCGGACCCCTGTATCTAGATCAGTGGTTCCCAAATTATTCCCCGGCTGCCGCCCCCTTGGCTCTCAGACCACGTCCCTAGCGCCCCCACCACCTCTTCCTTTATATCAAATTACTGCAAATTCAAAACAATAACAAGCCTGGAAGGTTTCATGGCTTCATTTGAAAAGACCTTCTCACATATCGGTTGCTGTTGGTTATTTGGTGCTGATACAAATCCACATTTCAGATACTTCACACTATATTGCCTACAATTTTTTTTTGTCTGCTGTGCTGCTGCCATATTTTATTCTGGAACAAAAAAATAATAGCATATATAAAAAATGGTCATAACTATGACCATAATTTTTAAAGGAGTGGACCGGTAAGTCAGGACACACTTGTCCTGTTTTCTGACGAACCTTAACTAACCTAACAACAAAATATATTTTCTTTGTAAAAATCGTGCCAGCCACAACAAAATGCAGCAGAAAATACATAAGGAAACATATACCAATGCATTTACTAGAAGCACATGACACAACAACACTTGTATGAATGTTAAACTATAAATCATGTACTTAAGAATTACAAATGACAGCTTTAGCACAGCAACACTTCTATCTCTCTCTCTTTTCCTCTCTCTCTCTCTATCTCTCTCTCTCTTTTCCTCTCTCTCTCTCTCCTCTCTCTCTCTCTCTCTCTCTCTCTCTCTCTCTCTCTCTCTCTCTCTCTCTCTCTCTCTCTCTCTCTCTCTCTCTCTCTCTCTCTCTCTCTCTCTCTCTCTCTCCTCTCTCTCTCCTCTCTCTCTCTCTCTCTCTCTCTCTCTCTCTCTCTCTCTCTCTCTCTCTCTCTCTCTCTCTCTCTTCTCTCTCTCTCTCTCTCTCTCTCTCTCTCTCCTCTCTCTCCTCTCTCTCTCTCTCCTCTCTCTCTCTCTCTCTCTCTCTCTTTTTTACACAGGATTTGACAAGGTTAAGGATTCCTAACTTTATTGGCAAGCTAAGAGCTGTTACCTACATCAGCTCATTTGAAAGCATTTTTATTGTTATGAGACATACAAGTAGGGAACAGGATGAAGTTGGAGCCATCTGTGGGCCAGCATTTTCATTTGATCAACTGACTTTAACTCGTTGACATCATTATGCAGTACGAATGTGTTCCATACTCGAGTCATCCTGGGTATATATGATCTCAGATGGAGTGATGTTCTGGAGAAGGGTACAGCCAGAGTGAAGTTGCTGCTTTCTGCCCGTCTTGTGGTATAGAAGCTTGCTTCTCGCTGTCCTCGAAGTGGATCCAAGTGTGGTACTTTGACAATATTGGCCTTGTACATAACAGTAAGGCCAACCACATCCCTCCTGTGTTGAAGGCTCTGCTGAATTGACAGATCTATCCAGGATGGGTCCAGGCGAAAGATGAGACGTCTTGCTCTGTTCTCTACCCTGTCAAGCAGTCGCAGATGAGAAGGGGGCAGGCAAACCAAGAAAGTGGAGCATACTCAAGATGTGATCGTACTTGTGCCTCGTACAGAATCTTGCAACCCCTACTGTCAAGCAGATGCGAGATACGGTGAAGTGCTGTAAGCTTCCTGGCTGCCTTGTTTGCAAGATTTACAAAGTGGTTCTTCATGGTCAGTTTGGAGTCAAATTTCACCCCAAGGATATCAACTTCTTCCCCAGTTGCCAAGACCCTCCCATTCATCCTTACTACTGCACCGGCATTACCATCATGGTGCCTAGAGACCATCATCATTTGTGTTTTCTCAGGTGCAAATGTTACTTGCCATCTATTTCCCCAAGCTGATATACCTCTCTCTCTCCCTCTTTCTATCTTTCTCTCTCCCCCTCTCTCTCGTTTCTCTCTCTCTCTCTCCTAGGCTTTTCCCTCACCCCTCACACACACTCTGAAAATACATAAGCTTCTCTCTCTGTGGTAAAATACATAAGCGTCTTTCTGTGGTAAAAAAAGGGGTACCCAAGAGGGCAGAAAATCAGAGGTCTGGTGGATGAACCCAGGAGGGAAGAACCTGGGAGGGAAGATTGGGAGTTGGAGCTCAAAAAAAGGGAGGAAGAGTGGGGAAGAGGAATAAACCTGAAACAGATTAGAGAGACAAATGACAGTACAGATACGACATTAGGAACTTCTATATCAGTCACAGACAAGGGGACTGTAGGGAGAAAAGGAACTATGCTGTATGTGAAGGTCCTATCAGACCCACATGGGGCCCAGGAAAAGACGAGGAGCACACTACGACCGAATGAGAGGTCTGAAGACAATGAACGTATGCCATATGCACAGACTCTAACAGACAACTGCAGTGGGAAGGAACAACTGAGCACAAAAGACAGTTCACTGAGCATAGGGGCTTCAGCAAGGGCAGGGATTGAAGGCAGGAATGTTTCAGTAGAAGGCACTAAAACACCTCAGAGGATGCAAAGGGAGACACAGTGGGAGGAGGAAAGGGAGAGGTCAGTGTTTGTCTATGGGCTCCAAGAAGTTGAGAGGGGAACCTACGATGAAAGAAAACAGGAGGAGGAAAAAGCGATTGAAGGTATCATGAAAACAATAGATGAAGGCAACATGACCCAAGTGACAAATTTTCGGAGAATTGGGTGGTTTGCGAGTGGGAGAAAACGACCTGTCAAAGTAATTTTCAAGGAAGAATCAGCTCAAACCAGGATCCTGCAGGAGAAAGCACGACTGAGAGACAAACCGGAGTACCAGAGAGTGTACTTCAATCACGACAAAACACAAGAAGAAAGGATGATACCGAACGAGAGGGTACAAAGACGAAAGAAGGAACGAGAGGCAATGATGAAGATGAGCAGGACCCAGACCCAGGTGGAAGGGCAAACACCCCCCCAGAAACACCTTCAGAAGGACTCCAACCACGGCAACCCCAACACAACTGAACAATCTAAACCAAAACACGCACACAGTTCCCTCTGCCTCCACACCCCCCACATCACAAACCTCACCCCTACAGAAGCCCCCTATAGGCACTCTGCCCCCACCTCCCTCATCACAAACCCCACCCACACCACAAACCCCCATAGGCCCCCTCCAGGGCTCCTGCTCCCCCAGCCCCAATATTCTCCCAGGACCACAGTGATAGAAAAGTAGCTAAAGGTTTGGTACATGAACGTGGATGGAATAACGAATAAACATGAGGATTGGCATGAAAGAATCAATGAGAAGTCTCCAGACATCATAGCAGTCACAGAAATGAAACTCACTGAGACAATAACAGATGCAATCTTCCCACTGGGATATCAGATCCTGAGGAAAGATAGAAGGAGTAGAGGGGGAGGAGGGATTGTACTGCTCATAAAAACCGATGGGGATTTGAGGAAATGGAAGGCATGGATGAGATTGGAGAAAGGGACGACATAGTAGGTACAATTTAGTATGGGGAACATAAGGCAGTCATTACAGTGATGTATAACCCACCAAAGAACTGCAGGAGGCCAAGAGAGGAATACAAAGAGAATAGCAGAGTGATGGTGGACACACTGACTGGGATGACAAGAAAAGCTCACTCGAGCAGAGCAAAGTTACTGGTTATGGGCGATTTCAGTCACGGAGATCAAGTGGGAAGACCTGGAGCCACATGGGGGTCCTGAAACATGGGGAGAGCCAAGATAATGGATATGGTACTGGAAAACCTTATGCATCAACATGTCAGGAACACTACCAAAGAGAGAGGGGAGGATGAACTAGCAAGACTGGACCTT